TTTTCAATATTAGGTGAGACGGATAATTTCATATAATTTCAGAAGGCTCAAACGGAGCAAATGGAATTGATGGATTTATCGGCGCCAGAAGTGAGTGAGGAAGAATTGGAACTATACGACTCATTTGTTGAAGAAGTTAGGAAAGGTCAGAGAGGGTCATCGAATCGGCCAATCCAACGAGTGAGTGCTAAACGGAAATTGCAGTCTGATGTTCGTGAAGAAATAACGGACTTGAAAAAACGAAAAATGACCGTAAACTGACTGGTACCGATAAGAAACTGTATGAATGTTCGATATTCAACAAAAATTTCACCCATTTATCGAATTGAAAGTTCACATGAGGACTCATACCAGTGAAAAGCCATTCAATTGTCCGGAATGCAACAAAAACTTCATTCAGTCAATGGATTTGGAAAGACATGTGAGAACTCATACCGGTGAAAGGCTGCACATTTCGAGATGGAATGAAAGTTTCTCCGATTTGTCGCATTTGAAAAACGGCACGATGAATGGTATCGGTGGAAAGCCGCTCGGTTGTTTGGCATGGGGGAAACGTTTCGCTGTGTCATTTCGTTTGCAAACTCATAATTATTCGAATGAAAGAAAAGTTCCTTTCGCCGAGATAAATCGAAAAGACGGAAGCTAACTGATAGCAATGAAAGATCCCTTTCCAATTGAACTGTTTTCGACTAAAATTTCTTCTCGCAATAAATTTTGAAATTATGCATTAAAAAGTTGGAAAAGGAAACAACTGAGAAACGGCGTTTTAAATAAAAAATGCATTGCTATTGCTGGTGCTGTAGACTATTTCTGTATTCTATTAATTGAATTCTTTCAATTTAATTATTCATTCTTAATTTTTACCATCTTTTTTATCACCTATTGCCAATTAATGTTGTTTAAGTTATCCATTTTATGTCTAATATTGTTTTTCTTTTTTCATTTAAATGAATAAACTTCTCGCATACTTATTCGATTAACAGCCTCAGTTTCATTTAATATTCTATTAAAATACGTCCATTGTGCGAGTACAGAGATATGCGAATGGATTTTGTTATTATTGAATTAATAATTAAATACAATTCAAACAAAATTTCGGAATTTTTTCCTGATTGTTTATCAAAATTATCATTCGAAGCAGAAACAATTTTCTATAATGTTTGAAAAGAAAAAAAAATTTATTTGCGTCTTTTAATCCAATATTGTGTGTGAAAAATTTGTGCATTGTTACGGAAGTTTTTGCTTTTTAAATTTCATGACGTCAATTTGACTGACAATTACTATAAAATAAATAAATTTTACTCAGA